AGACTCACCAGCACCTGAGGGAGCAGACGCGCGAGCACCTAGAGCAGCAGCCTCGCTAGCACCTAGAGCAGCAGCCTCACCAGTACCTAGAGCAGCAGTCTCAATGCCCGGGTCGGGCGGAAAACACCGGTAACAGTCACCCTCATCACTAATAGTCACAGCATACATGGCAGCAAGAATAGCATCAAAGTCAAGGTCAAAGACAGCTACACCCGCCCTAGACAGCTCGCCCCAGCGGGGGATCTCAGTGGCCTCAGGGAACTGGTGACACCAAGCGTCCGTCAGGCGGCCAAAGCAGCGCTGGGTGGAGTGCGCACCCCCGCACTGCTCACCCGCGCGGTCGCCGGTGCGTAGGACGTAGGTGCACGGACCAGTACCCCCACCCCGCTGGCGTGCAGCGTACCACTCACGGAGCTGCTGAGGGGGGGGGGATGTCACGAGTGCGCTGCTGCCGCTGCTGCTGCTGCTGCTGGCGCTGACCACCACCGGAGCCAACCCTCTGCCCAGCGCCACCCCGACCAGCTCCACCTCCTCCGCCGCCGCCTCCTCCACCGCCGCCACCTCCGCCACCTCCGCTCCCACCGCCACCGCCGCCGCCGCCTCCGCCTCCACTGCCGCCACCGACACCTCCACCCCCGCCACCACTCCCACCACCACCCCCACCCCCTCCACTGCCGCCACCGCCACCTCCGCCACCCCCGCCAGCCCCTCCAGCGCCCTTGCCCCCCTTGCCCTTGCCGGTGCGGCGTCTCCCGCTCGGGGCAGACGCAGCGCCGACCGACTCGAGACCAACGAGGTCGGCCGCAGCAGTAGAGGCAACAGAGGGCAAAAGGGGGGAGGGGGAACACCCCTCAAAGACGGGGGTGCGAGGGTCACCACGAGAGGCTCCTACAGCGACTATGCTCTTCTCTGCTGCTAGGAGGGCCTTCTCGAGGAGGTCAACGGTGAGAGTGGTGGGGCAAACTGAGAGGAAGTGGTCCCTGACTACGCGAAGGGAGTCAGGGAGCCGGGTGACTATGTAGTAGAGGGTGATGTACATGGGGGGGGGGGTTTTGGCGCAGAACTCAGCAGGAAGCGCAGCGCGGTAGCGAGTGTCACTAGTGCGGAGGTGCGTAATGAGGTCAGCGACTGTGGGAAAGGCAGCAAGGTCAGGGAAGAGGTACGGTAGCATGAGGCGGCTCAGTGCAGCAGTGGCAGGGGAGGAGTAGCGCGCAACTACAGCGTCGTACAAGGTGTGAGCACTCTTGTACTGGCTAAAGTGCGAACGCTCAGAGGTAGGCAGGTGGCGACGCACAGCTAGACGTGCAGCAGCATCGCGTGTGGCCTACTGTGAGCGAACAGTGGCGTCGGCATCAGCAGCAGGGGCAGGAGAGGCACCAGAGGTGAGGTCAAAGAGGGAGAGACCGTCTGCCCTATCGCACTGTAAGAAAAGCTGCAGGTCATCTACCCAGACGTCAAAGTCAATGGCCCGACCCTCAGCGTCAAAGGCGAGGACACTAGGGGTAGCCATGACAGCAGTAGACTAGCAGTGCGAACAGTAGGGTAAGGGCAGTGCAGTGATAGAGGCGCTGCTCTTACCGGACAGGGCGGCTCGGGCGGCTCGGCGGCTCAGCAGGACGGCGGGTCGGCGACTCGGCGGCTCGGGCGGCTCGGCGGCTCGGGCGGCTCGGGCGACTCGGCGGCTCGGGCGGCTCGAGCGGCTCGGCGACTCGGCGGCCCGGGCGGCTCGGCGGTCGGCTGCTGGGCGGCTCGGCGGCTCGGCAGGACGGCGGGTCGGCGACTCGGCGGCTCGGGCGGCTCGGCGGCTCGGGCGGCTCGGGCGACTCGGCGGCTCGGGCGGCTCGAGCGGCTCGGCGACTCGGCGGCCCGGGCGGCTCGGCGGTCGGCTGCTGGGCGGCTCGGCGGCTCGGCGGCTCGGCTGCTCGGCTGCAGGGCGGCTCGGCGGCTCGGGTGCTCGGCTGCTGGGCGGCTCGGCGGCTCGGGTGCTCGGCTGCTGGGCGGCTCGGCGGCCGGTCGCGGCAGCAGTCGCAGAAGCTGTGGCGACTGCTGCTGCAGAGACGGCTGCGGCTGCTGCCTCAGGGACGGCGGCTGCCGGCCGCTAGGGGCCGCAAAGAGCGGCGGAGAGGCCGTGAAGGGCGCCACGAGGGGCCGTCGAGGGCGGCGACGGGCCGTGAGGAGGCCGCGGAAGGCGGCTCGAGGGGCCGCGAGGGGGCCGTAAGGGGGGCCGACTGGCGGCGGGAGGGGCCGAAGGGGCCGCGGGAGGGCCCGTAAGGGTAGCGTGAGGGGCCGTAAGGGGCCGTAAGGGGCCGTAAGGGCGGCGCGAGGGGCCGTAAGGGTGGCACGAGGGGCCGTAAGGGCGGCACGAGGGGCCGTGAGGGCGGCGCGACGGGCGCGACGGGCCGTAAGGGCGGCGCGACGGGCCGTAAGGGCGGCGCGACGAGCCGTAAGGGCGGCGCTAGGGAGCCGTGAGAGGGCCGCTAAGGGCGACGCGACGGGGCCGTGAGGGGCCTAGCGAGGGCGCAACGGTAGGGAGAGCACACAGGGCGCGACTCGGGCCGGAGCGAAGCGCGCTCCGGGCAGGAAAAAAAATTTCGTGGTGGTGGGCCCTAGGAATCGTTCCCACTAGGAAACCTGCTCGATACCATGAGAAGAAACGAAGAATGAATTGACTAAGGGAAAGTTGGGTACAAATGTGAACCCTAGAAAACTGTACCCCATATGTGCTACCCCACTATAGCCTACAGTAGCTATGTCATATAAATCTGACATTACCTTCAAAAAAAGTTTGATGCATCAGTGTTCCCTTTTTGCAAAGGCTGATTTGATATTGAAGGTCTTTAATAAGATAATGTTAAACAGAAAGAGTAGGGCCTAGGCTTAGTAGCCTAGGCCAAGGGGAGTCGAGGTGGTTTGTGCCAAGGAGGGAGAAACGAGAATGAATTGACTTCACTATAGGTTTGCAAGAACATATAGCAAAGGAACAAAGAAGGTGCACCACCAAACAAAGTTTATAATAACTACACTAACTACAGCTACAGGCAGTTACAGATATATTCTAACATTCCCCCATAACTGCCTGCAGCAGGAGTCTGTGCAGCGACACATCCTGGATGGGTACACCACGAACTGAGAGAACAGCAACAGCAGGCAAGGTAACAAAGCAGGTACAGCAGTAAAGGGGCAGGCACTCCTGCCACCCCTTTACTCTCCTCCCCCCCCCCCCCCCCCCCCCCCACCTCAGAGGGACGGGGGCTGGATGTCTCACACCCGCCACCCCAATGCCACTCCCCTGGCTCCCCCACACCCTCACACCCTCCCCCCAGTGGCAGCTGCAGCAGTGGGAACGAAAGGAGGAGGAGGGGAAGGGAAACATACCACCCATCACCCCCATACCCGCCACCTCCATACCCTCCCCCCCATGGCTGCACGCGCAGCAGGGAGAAGAAGGAGGAGGGGGGGGGGTGGCGGGGAAGAAGCCGCCCCACGGCCTCAGAGGGGTGGCGCACAGGGAAGGGCAGGGGCGGCTGCACCGAGTGCAGGCGCATGTGAGGCAGGGGCGGCTGCTCCGAGGGCAGGCGCGGGTGAGGCAGAGGCGCCGTCGCGGGCGCCAGGGGCAGGTCCGCAGCTGACAGGGCACCGTCGCGGGCGCCAGGGGCGGGTCCGCGGCGGCTCAGGGCACCGTCGCGGGCGCCAGGGGCGGGTCCGCGGCGGCTCAGGCCACCGTCACGGGCGCCAGGGGCGGGTCCGCGGCGGCTCAAGGCACCGTCGCGGGCGCCAGGGGCGGGTCCGCGGCGGCTCAGGGCACCGTCGTGCGCCACGGGGCGCACGACGGGCAGGCAGACGCCGCGCGCCCGGGGCGCACGGCGGGCAGAAAACCGCCGTGCGCCCCGAGCACACGGCGGGCAGAAAATCGCCGCGCGCCGACATGCAGCGGAAGCAAACTGGTGGGCCCGTTAAGGAAGGCAGCAGGAAGGTGCCTGCTCTGATACCATGTTAAACAGAAAGAGTAGGGCCTAGGCTTAGTAGCCTAGGCCAAGGGGAGTCGAGGTGGTTTGTGCCAAGGAGGGAGAAACGAGAATGAATTGACTTCACTATAGGTTTGCAAGAACATATAGCAAAGGAACAAAGAAGGTGCACCACCAAACAAAGTTTATAATAACTACACTAACTACAGCTACAGGCAGTTACAGATATATTATAACAGATAACACTGGCTACTAGCAAGAAAGCAAGCAAGTTAGCTAGCATCAGCAGCAACAGAGGGTTCATTTAATCATCATCATCACTGCTGTTAGCCTCTGGTTCTTCCAACTCCTCCTCCGCCTCCTCATCTGTCTCCCTTCCCTTGCCATTGCCATTGCCCTCCCCCTCTCTTGCTGGAGTTGTTGCCACATTGCCAAATGGGCGGTGCTTCTTGTAGCTGCGCCGGATCTCCACCACCTCATCGTAGTCGGGCTCATACTCGAGGAGAGACATCGTGAGCAGGTCTTCAAGGCGGGCGTCTTTGAGGCTCCCCCGCTGCCACGATTTGATAACATTATGGCGTGAGAAGCCGCGCTCACACTCCACTGTGCTCAGCGGCAGCATGGCGACAGCCAACCAGAGATGCACCCGGTTGGGGTAGCTCGTCGTCCAGTCACTTGTCTTCAGTATTGCTGTTAGCCCGGCGTGGAAGTTGCGATTGTTCTTCGGGGCACCTGCGAGGATGGGGCAGAAGGTGCGCAGTTCTTTGATTTCCCGCCGCTTGTCGATCCCTGCCAGATAAGACAGAAGGGAGAGAGAGAGAGGGGATTAGATAGCATGGCATGCCCGTTCACAATACAGCTTTAACATGCAAACAAGCACCTCATGGAGAGCATCAATGTATGCAACAGGAATACCTGGAATGATGTAGTCCGTCTCCTGTGCCCTGAACAGCGTCACGAGTGACATGAGCCACTCGAGACACTGCTTGTGGCGCTCCGCTCTCCCAAGCTCCCACTCGTCTGGCCTGAAGAGCCTCACTCCCACCGCTTGCTGAGGTTTCGCACGAGCGTCTCGGCGAACGTGGTGCAGAGATTGACGCAGGCGTCGTGAGTGCCGAGGGTTGGGTAACCTTCGCTTGGGTTCTCGTGCAGCTGGAAGGTGTGTGTAGTCGGCCGACCGTCCGAGTCCACTCCCTGCACCTTCACCTCGGGGCGGCCCCCCTCAAGCCCGTGCTTCTTGATGAACGGGGAGAGGCACGCGCTCATTCCGCCTCCGAAGTCGCCACCACAGTCAACATAGCGGGACTGGAGGAACGACAAGGATCTCCTGATCTACGCATGGACACCTGCAATGTCAAGCTATTAGAGGCCGATAGGCAAAAGACAGAGGGTGAAAGGAAGGCAAAATCAGTGCAATGCAGCAGATGTTGAGCTCTACATTAAACCATTAACAAACACAAACAGAAGTGAAGCACACAATACAGGGACATCTTGGGAGGTGCAGCAGACGCTGTACAAAGAGATGCTAGTAACCCGGCTCACCTCTCGCTGCTGGAATGCCCTGTTAAACACGTTGAGCTGCTCGAGCACGTCTGCAAGGAAGTACAACAGGAAGTGAAATCTGTAGCTGGAGGCGAGCTCGTGCAGTGTACTGTCCCACTCATACAGCATAACGATGAGCGCGGGGAAGACCTCTACCGCGCGCAGAATGGCGTCACCCCTGGAGAGCCATCGGACTTGGTGAATCCCTTGGAGCTCCAGGTTCGTGGCTGTGAACACTTCCTGGAGCGACATGAACCGTTGGCGCCAAGGGCCAGAACGCCCCAGATGCTCAGCCACCTGGCGGAGCAGCAAGTCCACCATCTCGAACTTGAGGAGTGCTTTAGTTGCATCCTTTGCTACGAGCGCTTCCCTGAGTTCACAACAAAACACCGCAGCAAAACAGTGCATGAGCACAAGCTGCTACAGGTACACCAGAGAAGCACAAACACAACCGTTGCAGACATGCGAGAACACAACCGCAAACACAAGCGCAAATACAATTGCAAAAACAACCGCAAACAAAAGAGCAAACATAAGCGCAAACACAACGTACCTGTGGGCGATGCAGTGGCTTGAGACAAGATGCGGGATGCGGAGGCGAAGTCGAGCGACAACACCGTTGTTTTTGCCCATCATCACACTCGCTCCTTCAGTGCTCATGCCGGAAATCCTCGCAAGATCAATGCCGAGGGCCTGCAGGTGGGACAGGAATACTGAGAGGAGAGAGGCGGCATCGCCCTTCTCCACTGTCAGCAGCGCAAGGAACTCAGTGACGACACGGTTCTCACGGATGAACGTTGCAAAAATAATCATGTGCTTTCCCCGACATCTGTCCGTGCTCTCGTCGCATGTGACGCCGAGAAATGGGCTTGAAAGGATGTGCTGCAGTTGCGTTGTGTGCAACCACGTGGCCATCGACTGTGTTAGCTGCCCGAATCCGTATCTGCAGCGCATGTCAAACAAGACAATGATTCAGAATAAGTTGCGAAACACAACCACGGCTTAAGTGCTTGGAAAAGGTTACTCACGTCGTGTAGTAGGTTCCATAGCCTTTCGCAGGGAAACCAGGAACCTTAAGAGACGTGAGGTAGCGAACAAGATTCACCCATAACTCTATGGGTGCATCTTGCTTGGTGACAAAGATGAGGGAGTCCAGCAGCTTGATGACACGTTCCTTCTCGGTGTTGCGAGCAAGATTGTCGCCGTTTATCCGTGGCTGCCTGGCAGCTTCCGAGAGAAGTTTTTCCTGGTGCTTGAACGCCTCCTTGTGCTTGGTTGTTGCAGCATGCCTTTTGAATGCCTACGTCTGAACATCTGTGGCGCCCTTTCTGCCTCTCCCGCACGGTCCAGCGTAGCCTGCGTGCTCCGTACAGATGCTGCACTTGAAAGCAGGGAGACCGTCAAAAGATTTTAGCAGAATGAGCCAAGAAAACCTATCTAGCCACTCGCTTTTGTACTTATACAGAGCCTCCGCGTAAATCGCGTCAGGGCCTGCCGGTTTAGAAGGCCCTGGAACTGATGGCGACACCTGCGTGCCTGCGGTCGCGGGTGTCGACCGTTGGTCGGCTGGTGAAGGCGGAGTAGCTCTAGCGTTACCACCCATCTTGCACCATGGCAGCGTTGACTGGGTGTATTTGGCGTTCTTCTTAGCCACCAGAACCGCCGCAGTTTCTTCAACAGAAGGCGAAGAGTTGTCTTGCTCTAACACAGGCGCTGTAGGTGACGCACAAAACCCCTCATCTATGGGTTCGAAAGGAATGAATTCGGGCGGCGCGACTGCAGGTGCCTTTTCATGGTTTTCGACTTCCGCGAAGCTGGAGAAAAGCATATCCAGGCCGGTAACAGCGGCGGAAACATCTACTGGCGAACGATGATGCGCATCATCGCTTTGGTCGCCAGAGCTGTCTTGCTCGTCCTGGGGGTCCGCCATAGCTTGAAGTGCTACTAAGCAGCATCTAACGAAAGGTACGTTCTAGCCAAGCTAGAAAGAGGATAGCCATGGAAACCACACGGCTGACTGCCTCTTGGTACACCAGTCACGAACGCGATGAAACCCCAAGCGGATGGAAGGAAAGCATGGAGCAGAAGATGGGAGCCTCGATGGTAGGTAGCACGGCTGGGCGGCGTAGATGCATCAGTGCTTGCCAGCACGACCTAGACAAAACGGGCCACAGGACCACAGGTGCAAGCAATGGGCCAGAAACCCTCGCATCACTGCCTGCCAGCATTGCTCTGTTGCAACCTTGTCATTGGTCAACCCACATAATGCTGCAAAAGTGGCCTATGATCGCCCCAAGCGCGCCAACAAAGCAGCCCTCAAAGTGAAAAACACGGGGCAAATTTGTCTGATAGTCACCGCCAGGCGGTGCTGACACCGCGGGAATCTGAGATTCCGGGCAACTACACTCGGAACGTGAAGGAATCGCATTTAGTGTCAGTTTCGTTACAACGTAGTGCAATCAGTGTCCCTTAAAAAAAAAACCTGAAAGTTCGGAGTCATCTAAAGGCTGGAAAATCAGTCCCCCAAAAAGCTGAACACTGGAAAATCAGGGTAGGTACAAAAAAATCCCTGTAAATCAGGAATTTCAGGGAAAAAATCCTGATATCGTAGGGCCTGGTAAGGAGTGCACAGTGATGCTTCAATAATTACTAAGCGCAACATGGGAGACCCTGTTCACAAAAAATAGACATGCAAACACCTGCACCTACCCAGACCTGACATTCAAATTCACATTTGATTCCTTCACACAAAAAGAACTCTTGCTAAAATTTCCTCACACTAACTGCTTGCTACCCTACGTCCATCCATAATCTCTATAGCTTATACATTTCCTAGAATATTCCCTTCCAATGCATCCATTCACGCACCATCGCACGTCATCACCTCGAAGTCAAACAAGAAAGGTGAATCGAATCGCTACACCTCCCGGTGATACACCGCCATGCAATCCCGCTCCCACTCCCCCGACACACCGAGCACATAAACGACGGGTGCCGCAGCAGCCGCACCCGGTGGTTCGGCCGCCTCGGATCAAACGACTCAACCCCTGCCACCACCATCTCTAAGCTCCGAATCTCAGCTAAAAGCCGCTCTGATTGGTCCCTCAGCTCGTCGTTTGCGGATTGTAGCTCTTGCGCGCGCAGCTGGGACAGCTCGTAGGTTTTTAGGGTTTCCTGTAGCTGCTGCGCGTGCTCCTTGTGCTTCCTCTCCTGCTCCTTGCAGCTTTCCAGCTGTGCCAGCACGGATTGCATATCCCCCTCTGATGACTCCGATGCCATGGCCAGCTGTGGGTGTGGAAAGAAGGTGGGGTGGGGTGTGGTGGAGGAGGATAGTTACTGAGGCATCTCCGGATTGCATATCCCCCTCTGATGACTCTGATACCATGGTCAGCTGTGGGTGTGAAAAACACGACAAGAAGGGGGCGGTGAGGTTTGTGCGTGGTGGGGAAAGAGAGGAGGGGGCAGGGAGGGGAGGAGGAACGAGGGGAGCACATGAGAACAACAGACAAGGGAGGTGATGGCGAGGAGGTGTGAGGATCGGATGGTAATCTAAAGTATTTGCTAGTCAAACTCACTTATCGGTTCTGGTGCGTGCGGGAGCCAGCTCTCAAACACATGCTACTAGGTGTGTACCATGAGTGAACCGAAAACCCTCAACCCTGCTACTGACCTTATGAGACTTCCCATCCACTGTAGCCTCCAGCTCTGCCACTCTCCTCTGCAATGCTTCCACCTCCTCACTGCTCTGCCCTGCACTGCTTGCCACTGCCGGCTCTGCCGCCCCCTGCACATGCGAGGGATGTGGGAGTAGGTTGGGGTTGAGAGAATGAGTGGAGGGGAGGGTACGGGGGGGGGGAGGGAGAGGAGGGGAGGGGCGGGTTGGGAATGGGTGCGGACGCGCAAGTGACACTAAGGGAGGTAAGTGGGCAAGGCTTGACTGGGAAAGAAAGGAATGTGCTGCAAGTGAATCATTCTGAAAATGCATGGTGTTTGGCACATGGGTGGGTGGGAGTGATACCATGGTTGCCTTGGCATGCTCCATGTCCCTCTCATGGCTCGCCTTCATTGCCTCCTGCTCAATCACCCATGCACATGCCACACATGCACATGACACACACACGCCACACATGCACATGCCACACACACGCCACCCATGCACATGACACACATGCACATGCCACACATGCACATGCCACACATGCACATGCCACACACACGCCACACATGCACATGCCACACATGCACATGCCACACATGTATATGCCATAAGGGAGGAGAAACTCTCAACCATGTGATCCAACAAACCATCCACCAAAGCGGGACAAGTGTGGCTTGCGGGTCCTGGCGTAACGGGCATGAAGGATGCGACATGCGACTAGGAGGGGAGAACAAGTAGTTGAGAACGAAGTTAGGAAAAAGGGTTGGAAACAGGGGAATGGACTTAACCAAGGGTTGTAACCCACCGACCATACGTAACCCACCGACAACATGAAATCAACCGACAATATGTAACCACCGACCACATGTAACACAGCGTCTACATGTAACCCACCGACAACATGTAACCCACCGACAACATGTAACCCACCGACAACATGTAACCCACCGACAACATGGAACCCACCGACCACATGTAACCCAGCAACGACATGTAACCCACCGACCAACCCACTGACCACATGTAACGCAGCGACGACCTGTGATTCACTAACCATTTCATCGAGCAGTTGACGGAGCTCTGCTTCATGTGCTGCCTTGGAGGACTCCAGCACGCACCAGCAGCCAACACATTCAATTAGGGTTTCCAGTTGAGGATTCGAATCGAGGTTTCAGATTGCGGGTTGGGGTTGAGTGTTGCAACATGCAGGTGAATTTCAGGGTTGCAACAAGAGGTCAAGGTTGCTCGGGTGTGCAACATGTATGTATGGACTGTCAAACACAAGAGGGGCATTGTGTCATGCGCATGGAGGGCATGGCACGTGGTCTCGTCTCACCAGCTGGTCTTTGAGCTGTTGCAGATCCGCGGCTTGGGATGCTGCTGCTGCTGCCTGCAGTGGCGGCCGCATGGGAGAAAATGGGCGCACCGAGGAGTGGACGAGGGGGAAGGAACACGGGGGGGGTGGGGAGGACAAGGCAACACAAGCTTGAACTGCTGCAGATCTGCCCGATGGGATGCTGGCTGCCTGCAGTGGTGGACGATTTTTTAGAATTCCCACAAATTGCGGATGGGGGAACAGGGGAGGGGAGGAGGAGAGGGGAAGAGGAGCAGTGGCAGGGTCAGGACAGAGCAATGCAAGTTAGACATGAGGCGAGAGGAGAGGAGTGAGGGGTAGGGTAACAACTGTTGAAACCTGGAAACAAACGTGTTGGGAATCAAAAGCTTCAACTATCAAGTCAAGTGGTTTTGTGTGAACCACAAACCAGAACGAACTTGAATGCTCTTGTCAAGAGCACACACATACTCGTCTCTTTGAACTGCCATTCCTACTTACCGTGTTGTCTTTGAGTTGCTGAAGCTCTGCTTCGTGTGCTGCCCTGGCTGCTGCCTGTTGTGCATTCATACAGGCACTCATGCACATACACCCATATACATGCGCACACACACACACAATCACACCCACATAGACATGCGCACGCACCGCCACGCCCAGTGAGAACAAAGGAGAAGTGAGAGGACTGACACAAGCATGCCTTCAGATGTGCCAGATCGTGGTAATGATATGGGCTGGCATTGGGGTTGAGGAGGTTCAGTTCAGTTCAGTTACGTTTAGTCGAGTAGATTTGCAGTGCATCTTGCGTCGCTTAAGCCAAACAAGTTATCTGGCATGCTTTGCTGAGTGTCAGATTTTCTAACCCGCTCACCATTGCTCTCTTGATCTGCTCCATCTCTCTCTCATGACCCGCCTTCAGGGCCTCCTGCAGTGGCGGACAGCAGAGCAACACGCACAGACACACACGAATTGGCACGCATGCATTTATACATGACACAAAACGAACACAGAGAGGGCAATCAGCCCGATAACAAAGCAGGTTGAAGGGCAAAGATCAGCTCGCTGTCAAGTCATGCCATGCCATGACATGGCGTACCATGGCGGCTGTTGACTGCTGCAGCTCTGCCTCTTGAGCCTTATTGCGCTCCCCCTGTCATGAGCACAGCACAGCGAGGCAACGAGGTCGGCGGGTACGGAGAGCATGTGGGGGAGAAAGGGAGATGGAGGAGGGGAGACGGGTGAGAAAGGGGTGGTGACGACATGAAGGGTTAGATGCAGAGATGGCTGAATCTTAAGAGTTTGGAGAACATCAGAACGGAGCAGGGAAGGCATGGTTTGGAAGCAGAGGCAGCAGGTCATTCAGAACGACACGGTCGCTATTGCAGCTTTTGGGATCAGCGTAAAGGGTGTGTTGTTGCTACAGGAAACTGTGCATTGTCGTTAGTTGCACTGACCATTCTTGCTGCCACGAGCCGAAACTCTTCTTCCCGTGCTGCCTGCTGCTCGTCCTGTATATGTTCATCCCCCCCCCCACGCACACACACACACACACACACGCACGCACACACACACACACACACACACACGCACACACACACACACACACACACACACACACACATACACACACCCACACACCATGTGCACACACACATGCATAGATATGCAAGGTGCAAGGTTAAGTAAGGAAATGCTGCGGTTGGGTAAGGATGAGACACGGGCCTCGCAGAGCAGAAGGCTCAGACCATTCCAGGTGACTTTTGAGTCGACTCAAAAGTCGCAGAGCAGAAGGCTCAGACTATACCCACCAATTGCAGATGCAAGGCAATTGAGTCGACTCAACAGTCATCTCGCTTCAAACCACACACACACACCTCCAGCCAGCCGGCATGCACCATTTGCAGGCGCAGCTGCTGCAGCTCGAGTTTGAGAGGCTCGAGCTGTGACCCGGCATCCTCAACACGTGCACCTTGGACTCAAACCACACACATACACACTCAGCCGGCCAGCACGCACCATTTGCAGGCGTAGCTGCTGCAGCTCTAGCTTGAGAGGCTCTAGCTGCGATCCTGCATCCTTGGCGCGAGCGTCTGAAAGAGCAAGCGCCGTCTTGAGCGACCGCAACGTCTCCTCCTTGTCCCGCACCGATGCCTGCAGCGCTGCCAGCATGTCCTGTAGACCCGACTCCTGGGAGGTTAAGAGGGGGTTGAGAAGGGTTGAGAAGGGTGGGTGGGTTGGGTGGTTGTGTGGCAGGTTGTAAGTGACTTGGGACTTTCGGCGACCGCAACGTTTCCTCCTTGTCCCGCACCGACGCCTGCAGCGCTGCTAGCATGTCCTTCAAATCTGATTTCTGCACGTGGTGAGAGGAGTTGAATAAAGGGTTGAAAGAGCCCAACCGAGAGGGTGAAAAGGGTGATAGAGTGAGTGAAAGGGGTTGGAAGGAGTTGATAGAGGGATTGAGGGTGAGGAGAACGAGAGAGAAGAGAGGCCTGAATCCCAAGGGGAAGGGGGGGAGGAACGAGGGGTTCGAAGAGAGGAGAGCAGCTGCAGCAAACCTAAGCGTCGCCGCCTCAACATACGAATCCTCCCACCAAGCATATTGCGTGGTACCATATGCAGATTCTCCCAGCCAGACAACCAACATAATCATTTCACCTCCTCCTGCATCTCAATCCGCTCCAGTCTGTCCTGCAGCGCACGGATCCGCTCCTCCTTCTCCCCCACCTCCTCCCTCGCCCCCTGCACCGCCTGCCTCAACTCCTCCCCCTCCTGCCCAACCCTCTGTGCCTCCTCCTTCAACCCCTCAATCTCCTCCCTTAGCTGCCCAATCTCCTGCCTGAGGCCCTCGATCTCGTTCCGTAAGGCCTCGTTCTCTTGCCGCAATGAGTGGCACTCCTGCTCTGCCTGCTGCTGCTGCTGCTGCTGCTGCTGCTGTGCCCGCCCCTGCTCCTCGCCTCCCTGGGTGGGGCATGGGGATGGGTATGGCCGAGGGAGGGCGGAGGGGTGGAGTGGGGGTAAGGAGGGTTGCGAGGGGCGTGGGGATGGAGGGATGGAGGGAGGGGAGATGGAGAGGAGGGAGAGGGAATGGTTGGGGGAACGAGTTGAAGGGAGAACGGAGGCTTGGACGTTGATGGGGGAAGTGGCGGGAAGGAGGGACAGGACACACAGCATACCAGCAATCCAGCCAAGCCCTCTCCCACTCCACATTTTGTGAACATATTTCGTGTGCTTGTCTAATCATCCACCCTTTTGCAACTCACCAGACATTCTTCCGATCCACCCCTTTTTTCTCCTATCCACCACCCCCAACCCCTTCACCCCCTGCTTCTCCATGCGTCCCACTTGCTCCAGCAAAACTCCAATCTCCTCCTTTTCTCGAGTCCAGTAATAAACGACCCACCTCCTGAGGCTCCATGCTTCTGACTTTATCCACCAACACTTGTATCTCATCCTCCTTCTCCTCCACCTCCTCTCTCGCCGCCCTCACGGCCTGCTGCAGCTTCTGCTGCTGGGATGCTGCGCTCATCTGGAGTGAAGCAGGAGAGAGGTGACGAGGAGGAGGGGAAGGAAGAGGCGGAGGGAAGGGAAGAGGTGGGAGGGAAGGGGGCGACGGGTGGGGAAGAGGGGGGGAGGGATGGAAGGGAGAGAAAAGGCAAACATGGCGCTGTATAAGGAGAAGGGTGAGCTACTCTGTCCTTCTCTCGCGCGTCCCTCAAAGAAAGGGGTTGTTCGTTCCACTTGAATCACCTCCTCTCTCGCAACCCTCTCAGCCTGCTCTCTTTTGAATCGACTCAAAAGTCAGAGGGGGTGCTTGCTTCACGTGAATCGCCTCCTCTCTCGCAACCCTCTCAGCCTGCTGTAGCGTCTGCTGCTGAGACGCCACACTCATCGGGAGTGAGACGAACGAGGTGGGCTTGCTTCTCTGCTGTCTTACTTTGTCGTGTCCTCTGGCCCTGGAAGCAAGTCCACCGGTGTGGGAGCGACAGACGGAACTAAACAGGGAAGAAGAGAGGAAGCCATATGAGTGTTACTTCTGAGAATTCTCAAAAGGGAAGGAGAGAGGAAAAGGGACGACTTGAAAGAGATGGGAGGGCGGAGAGTGGGAGGACCAGGGTGTGGGGGGGGGGACCGGTGGGGGGGAGGAGGAGGTGAGAGGGTGGGCGGAGGGATACAAGAACACACGCGCAAGAGAAATTCCAGCAGCTGCAGCTTCTTTGAGTTGGCTCGGAAAGATTTCAGCAGCTAAAACTCACTCTGCACAAAGTGCTGCAGCACCAACACACCTCGCGGTGCTGCAGCTGCTCCACCAGCTCCCAAATACGCAGCCCTTCCCAGCTCCATGTACATCCTCCCTCATGATTGAACAAGTGTTTTGAGACGTCTCAAAACACCTCAACCAGCTGCTACATCCGCAGGCCTTGAGCGCCTGCCTGCCTGCCTGCATTGTTGCTCGGAGTCGATCCAAAACACCAACACTCCTCAAACTGCAGCATCAGCAACGCACCTCACAGCGCCGAACCAGCAACGCACCTCGCAGTGCTGCAGCTGCTTCACGAGCTCCCGGATGCGCACGTCCTTCTCAGCCACATCCTCCCTGGCCGCCTTGAGCGCCTGCCTGTGTTGCTCTGAGTGGAGCCACAGAACCAACGCACCTCAAACTGCTCAACAACCAACCAGCGCACCTCACAGTGCTGCAGCTGCTTCACGAGCTCCCGGATGCGCACGTCCTTCTCAGCCACATCCTCCCTGGCCGCCTTGAGCGCCTGCCTGAGCCCCTCCATGTCCTGCCTCCCTGCCTGCACCTGCTGCGCTAGCTGCTCCACCCGCTGCTGCAGAATGCGCTGCTGCGCCCGCTCCCTCTCGACATCCACGTGCTGCCATGGGGGGAGAAGGGCGGCGGATGGGAGAGGGAGAGGGAGGGGACGAGAGGGTGTAAGGGCTCAGGAGGAGAACACGACTTGCGCTGCTGCACCCGCTCCCTCTTGACACCCATGTGCTGGCATCTGGTGTGGGGTGGGGGGGTTGAAGGGGAGGGGGGGGGGGGAGGGGGGAGGAAGGAGCAGGACGGATGGTGGGGAGGAGCGGGAAAGGAAGGGTGGTGGGAACACGACGCTCAGCCACAGGGCACAGGGCACAGGGCACAGGGCAGAGAGGTGGAGGTGTGTGTGGAAGGGAACAGACCTGGTGGGAGCGAGACGGCGAGGAGGAGGAGAGGCTGTCAATGAGCTGGCGATACGTTGCCAGCTGTGTGGTCGCCTGGCGTAGCAATCAGGAAGAGGGAGAGGGGACGGGGAGAGGAAGGGTGAGGGGAAGGGAGGGGAGAGGAGGAAGGGAGGAGGATAGGGGGGGAAGGGAGAAACGGGGGGAACGGGGTGGGCGGGGAAGGGGAGGGGAAAGGGGAAAGTGGGGAGGGGAGGGTGAGGGGAGGGGAAGGGGAAGGGGGAGGGGAAGGGGGGAGGAGCCGGTCGGCAGAGGAAGCGAGGAGAAAATGTGAGAAAAGAAAGTAGGCAGATTATCATGGTGGGGCACGAATTGGTCAATGGAGGTAAGAAAGAGTTGCAGGCGAAAGAACCGGACTGAGAATAGACCCTCTCCCTCCTTACCCTCCTCTTTCTATTCACCAGATTTTAAAGCAGACACCTGAAATCCTATTCACCCCTATGCACATCCTAACCCTCCCCTTAGCGCAGCCTGAATCTCCTCTCTTGCTCTCCTTGCTCTTCCACCCTCACCTCCTCGTTGGCGTATCTGACCTCCTGCGCGTCCCTCTCAACACTTGTCTCAGCACTTTTCGCACACTCCCTTTCGCTTCGAGTGAGCATCTGAGCCCCTAAATCTTCCTGCACAGCCCATCCATCCATCACCTCCTTTCCTCGTGTTGCGTATCTGAGCTCCTGTGCGAATCCCTCTCCACGCGCCTCGCACACACACACACACACACACACTCCCTTTTGTTCTTCGTGAGCATCCAAGATTCTAGCTATTACTGCACAGCACAGCCCGCCCGCCCGCCGCTCACCTCCTCGTTGGCGTATCGGAGCTCCTGCGCGTCCCTCTCAACGCGCCTGACCACCTCGTCCCGGTCGCGAACCGCTATGCGCAGCTGCTGCCTCTCCGCCTCCATTGCTGCCATCGACTCCATCAGCCGCGCCGCCTGGGGGACTCAAGACGAGGGAGGGGGATTGCGGGGAGGAGGGGTTGAATTGGGGACGACGCATGGGGCAGACATGATGGTTGCTCTCCGCTCCGCCTCCATTGCTGCCATCGACTCCATCCGCCACGCTGCCTGGGGGACTCAAGCGGAAGCGGAGGGGGGGGGGGGAGAGGGGGGAGGGAGAGGGGGAGGGGGAGGGGGAGGGAAAGGGAAAGGGAGAGGGGGTGGGAAAGGGGGAGGGAAAGGGAGAGGGGGTGGAGGAGGCATGGAAGTGAACAGATGACCTGGCAGTGATGGGGGCACTGAGGCAGCAACTGTTTTTGTCCTGTCGGTCCTGGATTTTCATCTCCGTGTTTTAGCCACCAACCAGTCAAACTGACTTGACTCAATCAAATAACGCGTCTGAGTCCAATCAAATAACGATTCGAATTAGCAAACAGCCACACAGTGTCAAGTGAGCATGGGGACGAAGGTGGGCACAGAACGGAGATGGTGTTGAGTGATGAGCTGACAATACAACCCAAGGAGACGTGGCAAGGAGGTAAGGTGTGGAGGCAAGGTGAGGAGGCAAGGCAAGGACACAAGGTGAGAGTGTGAGCTGACCTCGAATCTCAGCATAGCAGCCTCCTCTGCATCATGGCTCCTGGACGGTCCAATCCCCACGTTATTCCCCCTCCCACACCTCTCACACACCCCTCCTGCTGCTACTGCTCCTCCTGCTGCTGCTGCCGTTGCCTCGCCTCCATTCCTAAAACCGCCAGCATGTCCATCCCGTTCTGCCCTCCCACCCTCCACGCTTCCTGCACCAGACACTGCCCTATCCTCCCTCCCAACCCCCTCCCCTCGCTCCCTGTCTGCCTCTCCCACCCCTTCATGCTCACGTCTCCCTGAACCTCCTACCCCTGCTCCTACACCCCCTCCTACGCCTGCTCCTTTTTCCAAATCCCCCTCTCTCCATTCGCCACCGTCTCCGCCCCTGTCCCCACCGCCATCGCCCGCCTCCCCCAACCCACTTTCCATGACATGGCTGCTACTAGTAGAAGCACCTGGGAAGCTCGTTGATCCATCCGCACAGACAGTCCCTGCTGAAGAAGCTACCTGTGTCTCTGCCCATCCCTGTCCCGCCTCTCCCTGCGTTCCCGCTTCCCCATGGTTGTCTCCATTGCTTCCCCCTGCTGCCCCTGCTGTCGTGGATCCTACTTCTCGCCCGGTGTCAAGTGGTTGACCTTGGGTTTCCGCAAGCCCTGCTTCACCAGCAGTCGCTGCTGCTGATTCTGGTGTGGCTGCCGCCGCTGCTGCCGCTCCCGCTGCTGCTGCGCTAGGTGATGATACTCCTGATTTCGCCCGCTCCTGTTACACAGACAGGCACGAGCGCGCGCGCGCGCGCTCGCACGCACACGCAAACAACCAGCCGGGGTGGAAACATGGAAAGCCAGCAATGAGAAGGAGACGGCGGCACTAAGAAAGAACCTACACAAAGACTCCAACTCCACCAGCTCCCACCTCCTAACCACCTGCATCAGCGTGCGGAGGCGAGTGACCTCTCCTCCTCTGTGAAAGCCTACCTTGCTCGCTTTTCATTCTAAGTTGCACTCAGAAAAGCATCTACAGAACAGACAGGTCCAGCAGCTCTCCTCCGCCACAGCCCACCTGCAGCAGCAGCATGCGGAGGCGGGTGACCTCGCCCCCTGAGAAAGCTTTACTCATCTTCTTTATCTTATGTCGTTGCTGGGTAAGAGAAAACATCCTCAGACCCCAACGGCTCCCCTGACCCAACCCACCTGCAGCAGCAGCATGCGAAGGCGGGTGACCTCGCCCCTGAGGAAACCTGCCTCGCATTTTTTCATGTTTGAATCATCACAAACACATGACTCAAACAAACCTCTACAGACCAAAACGGACCCTTCCAACCCACCTGCAGCAGCGTGCGCAGGCGGGAGACCTCGCCCCTGAGGAAACCTGCCTCGCTGCGGCGCTGCTGCAGCTCCTCCTGCACCATTGTGCACCGCTGCTGCCATGCCACCGCCTGCTGCCGCCCCTCCTCGCCCTCCCTCGCCGCCTGCGGATGGAGCAAGGGCGCGGACGGGAGGGAGAGTGTGGAGAGGGAAAAGATGTAGAGAGGGGAGGGACAAGTGAGAGGGATGGGAAAGGGTTTGAGACGTCTTGAGACCATCTCGAGTTGCCGCTGCCCTTCTGGTTACGTCGCGGCCGAAGAATGCAAGCTGTTTTTCACTCGTTCGCTCCACTCCCTAACCTCCTCTCATTCACTCTCTGGTGCCCAGCTTTTTCTCAAGTCCTAAGCCTAGATTTTCTGTTACGTTCTTCTTCCTACGGTAACATCTCTTCTCAACACCCATGCACAGCCCACACACAAGCTCACACACGAGATTATGTTCAGTATGTGTGCAAACACACTCACACATGCACACATGCGCGCGCACGCACGCGCTCACACATACACACACCTGCTGCCATCGGACCAGGTCTGTCTGTAGCTGGCTCATCTCCTCCTGCAACTGCCTCAGCCGCCGCTCCCCTGCTGCTGCCCTCGCACGCTCGCCCTCCAACAACGCCAATAGCTGAAACAGTTAGAAACGCACACGCGCAGATGCGAAGGAGGAGGGGGGGGGGGGGGGAGGGTGGGGGAGAGGGGGAAGGACAGTAAGGCACATCATGAGGGTAATAGGCTTTTGAGAATGTGTTTCCAGAGATGCAAACAGCTAGGCGACCACGCACACACACACAGCTGGGAAGAGAGGGCAGTGGGGGGTAGATGCAGGGGTGTAAGCGGAGTAAGAGAGGAAAGGGATGCATCGGACCGGGACAGCTTCAGTCTCAGACACGCTCCAATTCATTCATGCAACGCACACACACACACATGCATGCAACCTTTGAGATGTGTCAAGTCAAATAGGGATGCAGCAGGGCACGCCTCAGAGACACTCTCCTATGCATGCATGCATGCACCCACATACCCATGCAACTCTCCTTCGCCCAAGCCCCCCCCCCCCCCATCAATATACACACACACGCACACACATGTACACATATACACATGCAAAAAACGCATTTTACCGAGTTCAGAAAAAGGTCAGGCCAAAGGGCAACAAAACCAAGCGCATCCCATACCTCTTTGCTGCTTGCACCGCCTTCCGCAATCTCCCCGTCCGCTCCCACCATCTCCTCCAGTCCCCGCTCCCCTCTCCTCCCCCCTCCCCTCTCACTCCCCTCCTCCACACTCTCCACTGATCGCGTCTCAAACATCTCATCCCGGTCGCCTTGGCTCGACTCGTCCACACTCCCCAGCCCCTCCCGGCCCTCTAGATCCTGGCTGCTGCGGCTAGAGGAGCGTGTGAAGGACTTACGACCCTCCCTGTCGGGTGTGTCTGCTGATGAGAGAGACGCAGATGAGGGAAAGCTGGGGCGGCTAGGGACGTGGGGGGAGAGCTGGAGAGGCGGAGAGTGGTCAAGAAATGGGAGGGGGGATTTGGGGAAGGGATGGGAGGAGGGGAGACGGGAGGGGGGCGGCCAAGGGATGGAAGGGGCGAGGGGGAAGGGAGGCAAAGGGAGGTGACAATGCGGAAACAGATCATCAGTCAGAGGAGTTGGGGAGTGTGGGAGGGGGAATGAAAGGGGGAAGTGTGGCAACGATAGAATTTGGAGAGTGCAATGGGGCACGAGAATGAGAACATCACAACAGCAAAATGCAATGCATGTGCTTCTCCTGGACGAACGCGGCTTTTGAGTCGACTCAAAAGTCACCTCTTTTGAGTCGATTCAAAAGTCACCTCTTTTGAGTCGACTCAAAAATGAACATCACAACAGCAAAATGCAATGCACGTGCTTCTCCTGGACAAACGCGGCTCTCCTTGACAACAAATGCAGCAACGTGATTCGCTAAAGCAGACTGGCAGTGTTTTCACAGCCCTCACAGATGGGAAAGGACAGGCGGGGGGGGGGAGGGGGGGGTGGGGGTGGGGGGGGAAGAGGGGGAAGGGGGGTGGGGTGGAAACGGAGAGGGGGGAATGGGGGTTGGGAAGGAGAGGTTCGGACGCACCTGGGAGGAGAGGCGGCGGCGGGGGGGTTCGGGCCTGTCTGGGGAGGAGAGGTGGCCGCCTGCTGCTTTGAGGGCGTCCTTGAGACGAGCTATCTCGTGCTCCAACTCCACCTTCTCCGCACGCACACTGCGCACCTGCCAGGTGAAAAGGGGGAACGGGGGGGGGGGGGGAAGGGAGGGGTAAGAAGGGGTAGGAGAGCAGGGGACACCCACGGGGCGTCCTTGAGACGAGCTATCTCGTGCTCCAACTCCACCTTCTCCGCCCTCACACTGCGCACCTGCCAAAGGGGGGGGGGGGGGGGGGGAGAGGGGCGGGCGGAAGAGGGGCGGTGGGAAGAGGGGGAAGGGCTAAGAAAGGCCGGGGTTGGAGGGGACACCCACCGGGCGTCCTTGAGACGAGCTATCTCGTGCTCCAACTCCACCTTCTCCGCCCTCCTTCCCTCACACTGCACACCTGCCAAAGGGGAAGAGAGGGGTGGAGAAGCGTGCGTGTGTCGACAGGGGTTGGGGTGGTTTGAGGGGAGGGGTTCGGGGGGGAAGGGGGGAACGAGGAGAGGGAGAAGAGTGGAAGGGTGGGTTGCAGGGGACACACTCATGCCGTGCTTGAGTTTGAAAGCCAGATGTTTCGGCGAGAACATTGTTTATAGCACATGGGTGTTAAGATGTAGAGTGATGCGTGAGGCTTGGTAGACGAGGGCAGGAAGTGAGGGAAGGGGCGGGGTGATTTCGACAGGAAGGGAGAGGAAAGTGAAGAACAGGAAGAGAACGAGTGGAGGGAGGGGAGAAGTGCGTCAAAGAGAGACAACGTGGGGTGGGCTGACCTGTTGGGAGCGCTCCCTGTCTGCCTTAAGCTTCTCAATCTCCATCACTCTCTGCTCATACACACGACACAAGGACCACAATGCATGTAGAGCAGCAGAGACTGAAAGGCATTGGACATGCCCTCTCCACTCCATGTCCAATGCAGTATGAGCGAGTGAACACGCGAATGCAAGCGCTGCTGGCATGTCAAGTCAGCATACATTCCACTCAACTCCACTCCACCTCCATCCCTCTACCTCCCCCCCTCTCCCCCAACCCCCTCCATCCTGCCTTCCCCTGTTTCCTTCACTGTCCAGGCTAACTCATGTAAATCCATCCCCACAATCCACCCCTCCCCTCCCTTCCCCTTTCCTCCTCGTCCTCTCGAGTCGCGCCCCTCCACCTACCAGGGTGCGAGTGAGGGAGTCGGCCTGCTGCTGGGCAGCGAGGATGGCAGTGCGGCTGCGCTCGCACTCGCCCTCCAGCATGCGGCACTTGCCCTCCAACGACGCCTCCCTCTCCCTCGCTTCCTCCAGTGCCGCCTTCTGCCAGGGGGGAGAGGGAAAGGGGCCAGGGGCGAGATGCGAGGGGCGACAGGCACCGAGCGAGGGGCACCGAGCGAGGGGCAGAGTCCAGGCAAGGGACAAGGGGTGGGAGAGGCAGGGGACGGATGGAAAGAGGGGGAAGGAGAGAGGAGAGTAGAAGAATGAGTATCAGGTTTAAGAAACAATAGAGGGAGTCAAGCGAATAGAGGAGAATTAAGAGCGTAAAAACGGGTGTGAAAGCAGCGCATGAATGGAAGGGAGGGAGGGAGGGAGGGAGGGGGGGGGGGGGGCGGGAGGAGGGGAGGGGGAGGGGGGGTGGAGAAAGGGGGGGGTAATGGAACAGGATCAGAAAAAGAAAGAGACTAAAGGGATTATCTTCCTATGGAACAGGACAGAGCGCATAGGAGCTGCTGGATCATGCTACAGCTGAAGCCCATTGCACGCTATATCCACTCCGCAGGACGATAAAGCAGACCTCTGTGCAAATACTACACACAGGACTAAGACCAAAAGGCGGTTCCCCGGCTCATGTAACTCACCATTCTATCGGGCGTCATAGCCTGAAGAACACAAAGATCAAGCAAGGAACACAACGAGAAGGGAAGGAAAGAAGCGCAAGAGAGGAGAAATGGAGAGAGTGAGAAAGTGAGCAGGAAGGAACACAACAACGTTCTTTCTAGTATTGAGACGTTTCTTGAGTGGCTCAGCCTGACAAGGGTGGGTCTGATGAGAAAGGTGAAGGAACAACCCCAATACCAAGCGAGCTAACCAAAAGAGCATCAACAGCTACATGTTATGTTTCGTTCTGAGACGTCCCAAAGCGCACACACTCACCAGAGCGGTTTGTAGCTCGTTCACCTTTTTCTCAGCCTGCTCCATTGGACGTGCATTGCAAGATGGCAGAAGGAAGGAGAGACAGACAGACAGACAGACAGGGGAGGGGAAGAAGGAGCAGTCAAGAGAAGAACAACAGAAGTGCTAATACTGCTGGAAAGCAGTGGTAGTAGCTGCATTGAAGCCACCTCCTCCTGCATTCCAAAAGACATCACAAGATCCAAGGTCCACAATCTCGTCACCAGCAAGCCGTCAGCATCAACTTCCCATTCCCACCCCATCCCCACCCCGTCTCCACACACCATGAGCAGCCGCTGCTTGAGCTCACACACGTGCACCTCATATACTCCTCCCATCCCAGGTCGTCCTCCCTCGTTTTGAGTTCAGGCCCCAGAAACCCCCACTCCACCCACATCCAACCCCACCCTCTCCTTTTCCTTCCCAACCCAACCCACCAAGAGCAGCCGCTGCTTGAGCTCGCACACGTGCACCTCATACCCCTCCAACTCCTCCTCTCCCAGAATCACCCCCACTCCCAACCCCCCTCTCCCTGAGTTCCTCCACCCCCGCTTTCTCCCTCGCAACGCACCATGAGCAGCCGCTGCTTGAGCTCGCACACATGCACCTCATACTCCTCCAGCTCGTCCTCCCGTGCTTTCAGCTTCGGCCCCAGCGCTGCCAGCACCTCCCTGAGTGCACGGATCGTGTCGTCACGCTCCATGAGCTTCTCCTGGCTCTCCTTCAGCGTCTGCTTCATCGCCTCGTATACCTCCGCCTTTTGAGGGAGAGCAGAAGGGGGCGGGGATGGGGGGGGGTGGGAGGGAGGCAGAAGGGAGAAGATGAGAGGAGGGATACAGAGGGGCAAGAGAGGGCCATCAGCTTTCTCCTGGCTCTCCTTGAGCGTCTGCTTCATCGCCTCGTATACCTCCGCCTTGAGAAAGTGGGGAGGGTGGGGAAAGAGGGGCCGGCGAAGAGGGGGAAGGGGGCGGAAGAAGGAGGGGGGAGAAGATGATTGGAGTGAGAAAAGACGGGCCATTAGCTTCTGCTGGCTCTCCTTCAGCGTGTGCTTTATCACCTCATACACCTCCACCTTGAGAAAAGAGAGGAACGAGAGGAGGAAAAGAGGGGGCGGGGGAAGGGGAAGAGGAGGAAGGGACGTTCCCAGTTCCAAGTTCGAGATGAGATACCTGCAAATGAACAGGGACCAACGGGAGCTGAATGACAGCCTCACGTATCTGCTCTGCACATATCCTCCCTCTCCTCTTCCCACCGCCTTCTCTCCCTCTCCTTCTCCCGTTTGCGTATGCACACAGCACCCTTGTCTCTCACCTGTGCGCGATCATCAGCAGAGAAGGCGCCAGGCAGACCCAAGGCACGCATGTGACCCGACTGCGACTGCTGGGAGGGCGTGGGGGCGACCGGGGGGGGAAAGGAGTGGGGAAGGGTGGGGAAGTGGAAGTGGGAGGGAAGGGAATCGAGAAACGGGAAGGGGCGATGGGGAGGGAGGGGTTACAGATAGTGTGGAACTGAAGGGAAGGGTTGGAAGCGGAATAAGTTTGCCCCCGAACAGAGGAAAAACCAAATTGGTCTCCCGTTTTTTTGCCTGTGTCTTTGCAGGTGGCATTTAGGTTTCTTTGCCTGTTCTTTGCTTGTAACGGATGGTAACTTCTTTATCTGTTAGGTACAACATTGCTGAAGCGACCATCCGTTACATAGGGGGAGGGCATGCAGGTCGAACTGAGATATCGCTCTTACTCCTGTTAAACCTAGCTTCGGCTCGACATATTGTAAACCGTTTACAGTCAGGTGAGATGTGTGCAGCACTGTTTCATGTTGCTGCGGCTTCCTTAGGCGGCTCAGCAAAGGCGGGTGGGATGTGAGTGAGGTGTGCGTGGGGTGTGAGTGAGGTGTGTGTGGGGTGCGACAATCTCACGCTACTGAAAAGTGCAGGCATAGAGTTGCCTCCTGGCCGTTCGTTGAAGGCCACTTGCAGCTGGCGACGGCCTATGGGCACCACATCGCGACCTAGCTCCACCTGTGGCGCAGGGAGAGAGAAGGGGCGTGGAGAGAGGGAGAAAAGGGGGACCGTGGGAGGGGAGGGGAGAAGGGGAGGGGGTGTAGGTCGAGGGGGGAGGGAGGGGAGAACGAGGGGAAAGTGAGAGGTTGAGACAGGGAGAGAGAGAATAAGGAAGAGATAGGATTAGAAGTGAAGAACAGATCAGGAAGACGAAGAGGAGGGGGGCGAACAGATGCAAGCGACGAAGTACAGAGAGGAGTAAGGATTGCAGTCGAGTAGCAGAGCAGTAGGAAGAGGGGGATGGGGGGGAAGGGAGGGAAGAGAGGGGACGGGGAACGGGATTAGGTTGGAGTGGGGGAGAAGAGGCTGGAGTGAGGGAGGAGAAGAGGCTGGAGTGAGGGAGGAGAAGAGGTGGAGTGATGGAGGTGCTGGGATGGAGGGGGGGGACGAGAAGGATGAACGTGAGCTTCTTGACTGTATTAAGGTCGAGGGGGGACGAGGGGGAGGGAAAAAGGGTCGAAAACGGACCTCTTGAATGGAGTTAGCAAGGAAGCATTCGAGAGTGAAGAAGTCTGCAGGGAACCAGAACGGCTTCTTGTCAAACGCTGCACACAGCACTGGCAGCACGACGAAATAGCAACGCACAAGGGGCACACGGAGAGGGGAGGCGGCGGAGTGAGGCGGTCGGGGGATGGGGAGAAACAGGTGAGGGAAGAGGGACACGAGTAGACGAGATGCATCTGTAGGCTGGAGCTATTCAGGCTCTTGCTTGAGCAGGATAGCCTACGTAGCCGCGCTCCACGCCCTTGTTTATCATTTGTCAGGCATTTGTCATGTTGAATCTGGCAAGGCTACGATACAGCACACCACTCATGCCATAGTCCGACCCCACTTTGCACTCCTGCGCACTGTCCTTCCTCCCACAATCCCCCTCACACTTCCTCCTCTTCCTCCTTCTCACTATCTCCCCCTTCTCCACTCGGTTCCCTCCTTCACTGCCCTCTCTTTCCCCCAGTAATCCCCATTTCCTCCCCCCCCCCCTATCCACTCCGCGCATTCACTCTCTGGCCGCCCCCTACCTGACTTCTCTTCCAGGCTGTTGGGCGGGAGCAGCAGCATGCCGCCATCCACGATGGTGTACGCGCGAGCAGTGCCCGGGGTGAGCTGCCAGCCATGGCGAGGATAAAAGGCGAAGCGGGGTAAGATTAATTCAGAGGCGACTCAAAAGGCACTATGGCGGTGTACGCGCGAGAAGTGCCCGGGGTGAGCTGCCAGCCACCTTGACTAGACTTCTGCGGTGGCTGTGGTGCATTGACCCTAACGAGCGGCGTAGGATCACCCTGACGACCAGCGTTGACTCACTCTGACGGCCAGCGTTGACTCACCCTGAGGACCAGCGTTGACTCACCATGCCGACGAGCGTTGACTCACCCTACCGAACAACTTGACTCAACCTAACAACCGGCCCTAACTCACCCAGACGATCCGCATTGACTTACCCTACCTAGCGACCTTACTCACTCTAATGACCAGCGTTTGGTCGCTGAAGTTGGTGAAGCGAAGGGTACTGCGAAGCTCCTGACCCACGTCGACTGCGCACCTCCCAAGTGAAGGGGAGGTGGAAGGGGAAGGGGAAGGGGAAGGGGAAGGGAAAGGGGAGGTCGAGGGGAACGGAATGGGGGTTGGAGGAGGAAAATCGGAAAATGGGAAAGATAGGAGACAGCTGCGTATTAACATGGTTCACCACACCACACTGTCTATGACACTGCATCCCAATCGTGCAATCATGAGGATTTACAGTACATTAAGAGCACGGAGCTTTGGCTGACACAGCAGGAAGAAGAGTTACAGCATGGCGAGAGAAGCGATGCTAGCCGGCGCACCTGCAGTAGTTCTAGCAGAAGCAGCTGCACACATAGTATTAACCGCTAAGGAACAATCGCTATCGAGCAATAGAGGACGTTAACCCACGCTCGCACTTAGGAGTTATTAGCATTATGTTACTGCCGCGTGAATGTGCAGTTTTCCCGTTAACTCTTTCGCTTTTCCAGCGTATGTCGCAGAAAGATTGTCGCCGTAGTTCCTTCAAATTTAAACATGCAGGGTAGGGTAGACAAAAATCGCTTACACTGGAAGCGAATACTGCCGGGGTCGACCTTCAAATGCTCCAGAAGAGCCATGTGGCTCTTCTGGTCGGCGTAGGAGAAGTTGCAACGCTGCCTAGATACTACCGCGATTTCAGGTAAGAAAGGCTGGAACGCTTTTCACACGTGTGATGTCGTTATTTGTATACCCATTTTGTAGTCTGGTTTCTTTGAGTGGAGACGGATTAAGGTTTAAACCGAGGCGCGTATTGAGGAGTAACCATGTAACGGTTGTGTAAGCAAGAGGTGTGAGGAGACCCGGGAAGTATTAATAATAGCCTGCTCGAACTACGTCATGACTGAGACTGGAAGTCTACCTAATGAAGAGTCTCTTAGAACATAAACGCACGCGCACTCAATAGATGTTCTATGAAATAATCCCCCACTTGTGCGCCGTGGACTAACATAAAGTCGTCAATCTCTTTCAGCAGCAGAATGAATGGATGGAAAACACAAAGCAGCTTTCTTTTGAGGGTTGAAAATTGAAATCCCCAGCATGGATGGAGAGAGGAGAGGCAGAGTTCCAGCACCACCACACCAACTTAGCCAAGTGCAGTTCCACAGCAACACCGCCAGTTAGGCTAGGTTAGGGCGCCAGCTGTAGGTGCGGCACGGGAGAACGTTTGGTTCGAAATACAGACTAGAACCTAGGTTTGGCTGGAACGAACCAGCCGGAGCTTTTCACAAGAATCCGAGCCAAGCGTCTTCGAGCCTAAGGACGCGTTACAATTCCCGGCGCACTGCGTCGGCTCGGCTCGAGTTGGCACGAGCCAGGTCGTGCCAGACTCGAGCCTCAGGAACCTCGAAAATTCGTTATGACATTCGTGATGTTACTGTGCAATTTCCTGATACGAATCACCAGCAGCATTTTCAGGCCTAGAAAGGAACCGCAAGAACTGCAGAAACGATCATCGTAATACTCTTGTTGAGTGAGAGGGAGGGAGTGCAGTTGGCGAAAGGGTAGGTGTCGATATGAGTGCTGTAACCAGAGATACTGGCGACAACTAAAGATTGGCGAGGGCAGAGTGGCGGTTTGGCGTCGGGGGTCAATTTGATGGCCGTGCCAGGTCGTGCTGGCTCGAGCCATAGCGATGCAGTGCACTGACTCGGCTCGAGCCATGCCGTGCCAAGTCAGTGCACCGCATTGGCTCGGTCTCCCGGTTGCCTGGCCCCTTCCTGAACCCGTGCTCCGAGCCGAGCCGATACAGTGCACAGGGAATTGCAACACGTCCTAACCTGGGGTGGCTTTGAAAAATACCGAGACAGAAACAACCAGACCAGCAAGTTCTTCCGGGCCAAAGCAGAGGCAGACCTCGAAATCGGTACATTCCGTGCAGCAGCGACGCCCCCCGCACCTAGGGAACGCAGAATTCCGCTGGCTCGGACATACAGTATCTGAAGTCGTTCAAACGAGGTCCAGATGCGGTTGCCCAGTCAATGGCGACGTGCCTTCTGTTTGATTTTGGGCAGTAAGGCGTATTCCTTCATAGATTCTAACCTTCCATGTTACATCTTGCGAGTTTCAGAGCCACCCCGCCTACGGGTCTTTGATCTCTGACAGTTGCGGAGCCAACACCTCCTACAGCCATCTTGGACGTCCAACTACAGAAACAGGTGCCATCCGCGAATACGCCTTCCGCATCCCCAGTAAACAATATTGTGCAATATTCTCTATAACATAATGCTTCAACTGATATCATCCTTGTATAACAGCGATGTATACTTCATGTATCACCCACCCACCTGACATCAACTATCATGCGCGCACACACACCCATCCAGTCCGTCTCCAAATGCACCGTCCCGCACCCGCGCTCATATTTCTGCTCGAATAACTACCCAAACGTTCTACAATGGTTAACAGCCACTTTGAAACAGAGAGAACCTGACCGCACCGCATCAAGGGAACTCACGTGGCACGCCTCAGCTAAACTCTACACCAGTACAGTTGAGATGGGATGAGAACTCGCAACGCTTGTGTCGCTATCTCATCACCGCGCAAGAATAGTACCGTTCATTCTCGCGAGCTCGTGTGAGCTTCCGCTTCAATGCGATCGCGCAGGCGATTATCCCAACACTCGCCCGCTACACTCACCAGACTCGCCGTACTAATTAATTTATCCATAAATGCTAACGGTGCGGCACAATAGTCTGTGTCCCTCTGTCCATGCATCGGCGGCGGTCGGCGTTTACCTGTGAAAGCAGAATCGACATAGTCTGACCGCCCGAGCAAGATCGAATCGAGCTCAGAAGTTGGCGTCCGATTTTCTCGTTTCCGATCCGCGATTCCCCATCGGCTCCCAGTTTGGGGACTCTCTGTCGAAATATCCTTCCGCGATCCGGATCACAAGATCGTTACGACTAGGGGGTGGTCCTCTTGCGCTCCCACCTCCGCTCCGCCATCCGCGCGTCTCTCCTCCTCGCGCTCCTCCCCTCGCGCGTTTCTTCCTCGCGCGTTTCACCGCGCTCGCCTCCCTTCGCGTGCCCGCAACGGGCGCGCCCCGCAGGTCCCCCATGGACCCGCGGTGGTGCGGCGCGTGGCGCGCGCGCGTTCTCTCCGCGCTGCCGCTTGTGGTTGGCCTAGTAATGCTGCTACGGGAGGATGCGCTGCTTGTTATAGCCACCACCAATACTCCCACGCTCCATGGTAACTTGCATGATTGTAACAAATTTGAATTCCTAGAGCAATGCAATACTTTCTTCCCCGCATGCGAGCTACTTACTGCTATTCCCCTTCCTTCCCCCCCCCCCCCTTCTCCCCCCCCACCCTTATTATTCTCCCGCCATATCTCCCTCGACCCCTCCTCTCCCTTTCCCTCCCCTCCCCTCCCTTCGCCTTCCCTCCCCGCCCCCCGCCCCTTCTTCCACAGAATGCGACCCTGCCATTCTCTCCGCCTCCTCCTCTCCCTCCCCCGCGACACCCCTCTCCCCTTCCCGCTACCAGCGCGCGGAGGGCGCGTGCTGGAGCCGCGCGGAGCTACCCTGCTACGCGGGCGCGCGGGGGACGCCCGAGCGCTCCCCCGCGCTCAAGCGCAAAATCCACGCGTACCACGAGTACCTCCGCGCGTGCAGCAGCCGCGAAACCGTCGAAACCGTCAAGGCTAAGCTGCTAGCCGGCAACGCGACGGACTGCCGTTATCTCTTCTGGCACATGAAACTAGGCGACGGCCAAGGCAACCAATACATCTCCTTCGTCTCCTCCTTCGTCTACGCGCTCCTAACAAACCGGATTTTCCTTCTATACACGGACATGGGGCCGGGGAAGGTCATGTGTCCACCGTTTGAGGGCATGGGCGAGCGGTGGCATTTGTTCAATGGGAGTATGCAGTCTGTGGACCTTTACCTTTCGTCCGTGGTGGCGCGCAAAGGGATGCAGTTCTTTCCAGAGAGGTTGGATGTGCTGGTAAATGGTACCAGTGGCACGAATGGCACCATGCCCGCCCCGACCATGTAAGTCTGAATGGTGGTAGTTTTCTGATGGGAGTGGCAGTGGGAGTGGCAGTGGGAGTGGCAGTGGGAGTGGCAGTGGCAGTGGCAGTGGCAGGGGTCAGTCTCTGCTTTTTTCAGGGTCAAACCTCTTCCTATGGTCATTCAACCAACACCATAACATTCCCACTCTTATTCCGTCAACCTTCTTCCTACCAGTGCGAAGCATCAACACCATAACGTACCCTTTCTTTTGCCTTCAGCATGCTCCCCACCATTCCAAACCCTTCTCCAACTCCCATCCAACCCCCAAACCCTCTCCCCGCCCGCCCCCTCCCCGTCTTCCAGAGCCAACATCCCCATATACCACAACACGCCAAACACTTCCCTCTTCTTCTGTGAGTCCGAGCAAGCCTTCCTCTCCACCATCCCCTCGCTCATCCTCCTCTCCAACCAATACTTCCTCCCCGCGCTCCTCCACGTGCCCTCCTTCCGCCGCCACCTCCACGACCTCTTCCCCTCCGGCCGCATCTTCCAAACCGTCTCCCAGCTCATCATGTTCCCGAAGAATTCAATCTGGGCGGCAGTGACGGAGAATATCCGAGCCCGCGCGCTCTTGGCGGCGGCGCGCATCGGGCTGCAGTTCCGGCATGCTTCGGAGCTAGCCATGCGCCATGCGGTCATGTGTATCACCCGCCTGCAACAGCACCCCGTGCTTGTGGAGGCTCGGGCGAAGAATGGAGCGGCGGGAGGTGCAGGGGGTGCGGGGGAGGTGGCTGCTGGTGATGGTGGTGCTTCTGGGGGGGTTGAGAGTGGGGGGGATGCTGCTGGGGGAGGGGGGGCTGGGGGAGGTGGGGCTGTTGGGGTGGTAACTGGGGGAGCTGGGGTGGAAGCAGGTGGTTCGGGGAACGGAGGAGAAGGAAGGGAGTTGATGGACGGCCTGGGGGGGTTATCTGGTGTGACTGTTGTGGGTGGGGCCGGCAGCAGTGCAGGCAGCAGTGCAGGCAGCAACAGCACGGATGTTGATGCAGCAAGGGGCACAACGGTTGTATTGATTGCGAGTCTGAATCAATATGCACCGTTCAATCTTTCCCAGGTGCTCTTTCCCAACGTCACCTCAGCAGACCTCTCTTACAGTAAAGCTACAGTCACAGGTGGTGTTAGCATTAGCAACAGCAGCAGCAGCAACAGCAGCAGCAACAGCAGCAGTGGCGGTATGGCAACAACTCCAGGCAGTGAAAACAGTACCGAGACAGCCAATCCAATGCTCACTGCCACCAATTTGTTTTCCTCTCACAACAACAACACCACTCTTGACAGCAACAGCACCGCTCTCAACACCACTACCAGCAGCACCATGGCCACCAGCAGCACCGCGACCACCATGACCAGTTTAGTTACTCCTCTAGCCACCAGTTTCTCGCCCATCGATCCCACAAGCAGCACCGCCGACATCACTGAAAGCAATATCATCCGCAACGCAACCCTCGCTTTGGATCGAATCACTACTGAGGTTTCGCAATCGGGTCTGGATGCCGAGTTAGAGCATGCACTAGTGGATATTTACTCCCTTGCCTTAGGCTCGGATATCATTCTCACCTCCCCTGCCT